AATGGTAAAAAATGATTAGAACAGTCCATCTATTTAGGTGAATCTGGACCACACATAGATAAAAGTATTCAAACACCTTCGCCACAAAGCTATTTATAAGAAAAGTAAACTCATACTTCAGCATGCATATAGGGATAACAATATTCAAGTTTTCCTTAACTATGCCAAAAAGGGGTTTGTACATCTTGTCATCGAGTAGGTCAAAATTGAAAAAAAAAAAATCTTCCATAATAAACAACTATAAGAAACCGGAGTTTCGCTAAACACGAAGTTTGGACCTCCCACGATATAAAAAACCTATAGACTCACCTCGAAGATAGGACTTACTTACATTAGAGTTGGTACATGTTCTCGTAATCCTACTAGCTCGACTCTCAGATATATCTTAACTCTTTACAAGTCGCTCATCTCTATACTATATGAAAATGAAAACAAAATAGGAAAAATGATATATAAGGTTACCTTCTATAAATGTATATTTGAAATAATAAATGCCTTAGAGAAGCACCCAACTAAGAATAAATACTCTTAAGATAAAGAGAAAGCAAATGAAAATAAAAAAGGGTAACGATAAAAACCTCTCCAGAAAACTCTAAAGAGTGTCAAATAACTAGCTAAAAAATCTTTCACAATGAAGTATAAAGCCCATAAAAACAAAAGAAAAACTCCTTTACAAAGCCTATATATATGCCTAAAAGAAGGAATTATCTCTTAATCATGATGCATCAAACCTAAAGAATAACCCCACACCGACGTGATAGAAAGATATAAGGCAATAAGTTAGGCACATAGATTTTTAATAAGGATAATAATAATTTTTTTTTATAAAACACAAGAGATGTAGGTTTTTATAGCAATAGAGGTGCCTATTGTACGGACGATTACCCTTTTTTTTCTAAAAAATGTCAACATTGAAGTGTTGAGATTCTAAAAGAAAAATTGTTGACCAACCTAGGCTAAGCAAAACTAGAAGAAAGAACACTCATAGTCTTCCTCGGTAGTTAAACCCCCTCCCCCCAAGCCAATAGTTTTCAAGTATAGGCTAAGCAAGGAGCTAAGACTTGAGGGATAACTAATAATAAGATAGAGTCATCAATCTCATCCCTATACAACCTAAGAATAACAACTTATAAACAAACAACTCCAAATTCATTAAGCCCAACTCGAGTTCATAAGTCACAACATAGGGCAATATTAATAAATAAGACGGGCACAAAGTCTTTAAAGAATGGCTAACCCGTGCAAAATAGTCCGCCCTCCATGAAAAGTTTAGGAACTCTCCTATCCTAAGGTGTTCGGATATAGAAAAGAAAGAAACCATTTCTTCCACTATCTTAGAATGGAAAAAAACATTTAATGAAGATTTTTCAATGATGATATCAATTAAATTTTCACTCATCATGATAGCACTAACGTCATCGTAAATCAAATAAAATGATATTAGAGCATTATCATCTATCAGTTAAGCCACTAATACCAAAGAAAAAGATATTCTTATCCTTCTTACTATATACGTTGCACCCATGATTGCTTATGTACGAGTCTAAACCACTAAAGAGTAAGATATTTTGAAAAATTACAAAACATATTCTATTTTTTGAACATTTTCTTTCTCTTTATAAACTATTTGCATTCAATCGAATAATTTCTTCAAAAAAGTCTTTTTAAGTCTACTCATCACTTTCCGACTACTAATTTTTCGAACACTAACTAGATTGCTAAAGGATCTTTCACTAAATTAAAAAGACTTGTTTTACAAATATTCAGTATAAGGAATCATCTAGCATTCTCAATGAGTTTTAAACTCATATCTTGCTTACGTGAGCTATGTTTTCTAATTTTACTAAACTGACTATTTCATAACTCATAAGGTTAAATTTTTTAGTTTGTTGAATATATTTTTAAATCACACAACAAAAGTAGGTTTCGCAAAAAAAGAAATTGGCTAGAGGATTATGGGTGATGCATCCATATATACACAATTTTACATATATCGAGCATATAGTAAGGTTTCGCAAAAAAAAAAACAAAATTGGTTGGAGGATTATGGGTTATCCATCCATATATACACAATTTTACATATATCGAGCATATGGTAACATACTAGTCGGTTGCCCGCACTACTTCATGGGTCTAATAGAACAAAATTATTTTAAAATTTTAATTTTTTAATTATAATATTTAATTTAATTAATTTTTTCTAATGTTTTTTATAAATTCTTCGCTTAAAAAAAAAATCATTCTTCTCTATGGATTGATTTTAAAATTAAAAATTATAATAATTTTAACTAAAATATTAATTAAGAATTGAAAAAACTTTAAAAATATAATTTTCACAATATTTTATTCTACAAAAAATTATAATTAATGGACAAACTTTGATAAAAATCAACAAATGAAAAAACAAAATCCGATTTAATGCCGATGGGAAATGTTTTTTTTTAAATTATCCGCACAACGTTATTGGTAAATAGAATAAAATCATTTCAAAATGTAATAATTTTTTATTTAATTATTACTATTTTTTATTTTTTTCAATAAAATTTTTGATTAAAAAGCATGATTTATTCTTCATTATTTAGGAATTCTTAAATAAAAATTTATAATAATTTAAACCTGAAAAATTAATTAAGAATTCAAAAAATACTTTAAAATTATATTTTTATAAAAATGCATTTAAAAAATAAAGTTACAATTAATGTATAGACTTGCATAAGAATTAACCAATGAAAAAATAAAATTTTATTCTTATTTAATGTTGGTGAGAAGATTAATTTCTTTTTCAAATATATGCATTTGATATATACATATTTATTGACAAAATAATCAATAAAATTAGCATAAAAATAATATTTGAATAATTGGTTAGTTCATTTAAAAAATTATTTTAATTATCTTATTCGAATAAATTAGTTCTATAATATTAAAAAAAAATATTTATAGTAAATAATTTGTATTATGTTGGAAGATGTATAGTTAATTTTTAATAAAATGAACGATTCAATAATTTTTGTATATGTCTTGACCATATCTAGTGAACTGAAATAAATTATTTAAAATACACTTTTAACCCTTTAGAATAAAATATTTATTGATTTATATATATGAAACTATCATGTAAAAATTCTAAGAATTCATGATATATATATATTATACCAATTTATTTTTTAAAAAACAAAAAAAATCATATTCTAAAATTTTATTTTCAAATTCAAACATAGAGAAAAATAAATTATATAATATCGAGTAAATAAAATTTCATATAAAAAATATTAATTGGATGAGAATTTTTGTAAAAAATGATAAATTCAAAGAATGAAATTTAAATAATAAGAGTAATATAAGCTAAAGTATATGTTAATTTCAAAATATAAAAAGATATATCATATAATCGTTAATTTGTTTGAAAAAAAAGTTATAATTGATTTTTTAAAATTTTAACATCCAATTAAAAAAAGAACATAAATTGATGAAAAAAGCAAAGAAAAAATTTATTTTTCAAAATTTTAACATTCAATCAAATAAAAAAAGAACATAAATTGATGGAAAAAAGTACAAAAAAACCAAAGGAAAAAAGAAAAAAGAAAAAGGATGTGTAGTGCATCAATGAGGGGATGAAAATTTTTATTTTAAATTTTTAGAGACTAAAATGAAATAAATTAAAAATTACAAAAAAAATATTTATTATAAGAAAAAAATCAAATATAATAAAATTTTAATCATCAAAAGAAAAAAAAATTATAAAACAGGGACTAATACAAAAGTAAAGTTTACTAAAAGCAAAAGGAAGCTTTGGTGGAAGAGAGGAAAAAAAAAAAAGAATGAATAGTGATCGATAAAAATCAAATATAATAAAATTTTAATAATTAAAAGAAAAAAATTATAAAATAGGGACTAAAACAAAAAATGAAGTTTCCTAAAAGAGAAAAGGAGTTGTGGTCCTATGAAGAAAGAAGGAAGAAAAAAAAAAAGAGAATGAACAATTAATTAACAATTGTTATCACTACAGTGTTTTATTGTTTTTCTTTTAGTTTATTTTGTAATTATATAATTTCTATTTTAATTGGCTCCCTTAGTCAAAAATAGCATGTGAGATTGTTTTGTTGTCGAAATATTCGTGAACCTAGACTAGTTGAAACTACAACCACGCAACATTATGGCGTAATATCCATTTAAGATTTTTTTTTTAAATTAACAAATAGGATATAACTTTGATTTTTTGGATTAGAATATTGAAAGCAACATTTATAAAAATTTACTAAATTCATCCGAATTTATTAAATTAATATTAAAAATATGTTTTTAAAATTCTTAAGAAAAGAATTTGATCTTATTAATAATAATAGGTTAACAGATTCGAAAATATCTATTACTATAGAAAAAAGAAAAAAAAAAGAAAAGACAAATAGGATGTGTCTATTCTCAAATTAATTAAAAGCGTGAGACAGTTCGGTGATGGGCAATCCCTCGGTTGCCATGCACACATCTCAATGCAAGGCAGAAGGAGAAGCTTAAAAAAAAATTAAAGAAGGCTACACCGACTGCGGCCATTCTGATTCGTGGAGACCCCCAAAAATTAAAATAGTCATTGCCGACTGAGACCACCTGACCGAGAGAGTCCTTGTCTGAACTAACCTGAAAAGAGAGACGAAGTGATGAATCGAAATTTTAGGGTTTTGTTCTGCTAAAACGTGACACAAAAGATAGAAAGCTTGTTGTACGTGCAATGACTGAATGGACCATGCAGTCCATTTATTATTTTTCGTTTTTTATCAGATGGTTAATCCACTGAAAAATAAACGGTGAATGGGTGAAAACAGATCGTACAAAACCATAGATTTTTTTTTTTTTTTTTTGTCGTAAAATTGTAGATAATAGAACCATAAACTAAAAAAAAAAAGAAGTGTAAATCAGTCCAAAACAAGCTATTCAAAGAATGAAGAATCTTCTAAAACAGGGAGAAAGAAAAGTTATTGGTAAAAAATATATTAAGAAAGCAGATGGAGAGGAGAGTGAACAGAAGCAGAAAGGGTGGCAGGAAAGGGAAAAACAAGAGTGAAGTCGAACATGGTGAAAAGAGAAAGAAGGAAGGTGGTGCTGAGACGAAGAATTCAGGTGAAAAAAAAAAAAAAAAAGACGGATGAAGGAAGAAAAAGTAAAAATATATTTATGGTTTCCATGCATGAATATTTACTTGTGTTCTTAATAAGGCATCCAAGTCGCTTTGGTTAGTAGGTAAGGCGGAATCGTAGTGGGAACCATCAATAGAAATCCAGGGGTTATCACTTTAATTAGTAGGTAAGGTGGAATCCTAGATGAAACCATCAATAAAAAATCCAAGGAGTTATATATGTATATATATTCCAAGAGAAAACATTTAAATTTACGGCTAATTCTTTGATGTATCAAAAAAAAAAAAAAAGCTTGAAAATCAATATTTTGCAATTTAAATAGTTTGAATTGATAATATAAGTTTTATTTTGTTATAATTTCAATAGTTTGGACATAAATTATGCTGAGTAAATTGTAAATTAATCCTTTTGCTTTTAGAAACGAATTAGTTAATTCTTTTCGTTTTAAAAAATAATAATTTAATTCCTTATATTTTAATTTCATCTATAACTTAGTTTTCCCTTAAAGTAATAATGAGATATATTTCTACAATAGTTTTTTTTTAAATTATCTTTTTAGTTGTTGTCTTATTTATTTATTTTCCTCAACCATTTCTATTGTTATAACAAAACAAAAATTCATCTTATGTTATTTTTATGACCGTTAATTCTCAAGAACATAAACTATATAAAAAAATGACAAAGAAATTATATGTATTGTGTGATCTTTAATTTATTATTTTTGAGATTGATGAAAAAAATAATTTAAATATTATGTATTAATTTGATAAGAATCTAATGATGAAAAATACAGAGACTAATTTTTTAAAACGAAGAGGACAAATTAATTCATTTATTGAAAGCAGCTCATACCAATGCTGTCCAGACTCCAAATCAGAAAATAATGGGTTTTCAGCTGCGTTGAAAAAGACAATAAAATTGAAATTGCCTGAAACATTTAAGTTAATACAACAAATATGATGCCAGTAATCGTACTTCAACCCTGAAAGTGAGTTTTCAAGAGCAAATATGATGCCAGTAAATTTTTTCAAAGAAAACCTAAATCAAGAATTCTCTCTCAAGTTTTCAATCAAAACTGCAGCCAATTCCAGTAACCATTGTATAAAAAAAATAAAAAATCACAAGCCATCATTTGGGGTTTGACGCAAATTGATGTGAAAGACGCCGTCTCTCGTCGGACAAATGAATAATTTTACGTTGCCACTTTTTGTGAGTTGGAATTTAGTCTCTGCTTATCTGTTTCATAGTCATGAGATGGAGTATTGGGCGTCACTTATTTGTAAGAATAAACGAACTTCTAGTGCAGTGATGAAAATAAAAAATTAAAATTTTAAATTGAATCTTTCTCCACCAGATATAGCCATTGATGGATTTAGATTTCTGGGTAGAGAAGGACGTAACGAAGGTCCGAGACTCCTGGACCAACGGAATGCAGTTGGAAAGCCCTAGAGCGAAACTGGTAGCTGAAGATAGAACCAAATTTAGATTTCACTGCGGTATGGTCCGGTCAGAGTGGCGAAACAAGACAACCGATGTATTATCACTCTTCTCAATAATGCATTATTGGTTTGTCTTTTGCTTTTACCAAAACAAACCACTCCACAAAAGACAAAAGCCATCCACGATAGATCATTGTCGGTGCTTTGCCTTCACAGTCCACGACAATCCATGAGTAAGTCTCAGAATTGCAGGATAACAGAGAAAGGGCACACTTTACCCTCACCTTCTTGACCTCTTGTTTGCTCAATGAACAGACACGTATTTCTTAAGGCCCGCTAACAACTGCAGTGGAAGGGGCCACGCTACATCTTAGACAGGATCCATCGGTCAAAACAGCTAATACCAACTGGCGTTGTTATAAGATGGACTCAAATGGGAACTTGGAGTACCTAGTGGAGGCTCCTCAAGACAGAATAGACAATGCAAGAAGATGTGTCCATAGTTCTTTGACAAATTACTTGCACACATTACCGGCTTAACTAAGAAACGAGATTAATTAAGGTTCAATGCCTCAACATATCCACAATTATAAATGCTGACTGATAGAAGCACTTGGAGAGATTCAATCCTCCTCAGCTTAAAATGCTGACTGATAGAAGCACTTGGAGAGATTCAATCCTCAGCTTAAAATGTTGTGCTCTTTAAGCCGAAGTAAATGGGCAAATATGGCTTCAAAAGTGGCAGTTTTGTCCACAACAGTTCATGAACATTCAGGAAGCACTTGCAATTATTAGCCTCCAAAACCATGAGCTGGTGACAATTAAATTTTGGGGCCTTCAAACTAATCTGCATACATGACCCTGTCCCCTCCAATTAATGAATATGGTGGATCCAAGAGACAACATTTGCACTTCGTCTCTAATCATCCTGCAGTTATTGAAGTTAAGAAAGTTGGACTCAAGATCGCAGAAGTGAAAAATGCATCCAAGGATGTCAGGACTAAGTATAGGGGGGTTGAATCATAAATGCCATGAATTTACCTGAATTTTCTGAAGTAATTTCTCTGCCATAATTTTCTGCTGCACCCCACTCAAAGACTCCGAGTTCATAATTGCATTGGCAACAATAATAACTGTTGATGGAGAATTTGCATTCACCTATATTCAAAAAGAAAAAACAAACGGTAATGTTTATTAAAAGTTGGAACTCTTCGACACAAGCTAAACAAAGCAGTGTTGAGGTCTTGAAAGTTGGCATAATAAGGCAAACATGCCTAAAGCAGGGATGGATAATGAAACAAAAGAATGAATGAAGTCGAGGAAAACTAAAAAATCAGACATAAATATCGTAACAGCACTAAAAAAAAAAAAAACATACCCAAACACGGCCATTTAAACCGACCGCTATCTCAAAGGAGAGCTTCTTGCCAAGAGCCTCAAGAACTGGACATGTTGGTGAGCTCAACAGCCTAAAAATGAAGGAGAATCCATCATGCAACTTACAGAAGGAAGCTAGCTAACTAATTTTGTTATGCGCTGACCATCTTAAGGAAGTGGCTGTATATTAAAAGTTATGAGGGGACATGTCTCACATTCTCGATAGACCGGTTGAACATTCAAACATGTAGCCATCTTTGAGGGCACCAAATTCTGCTGCTTTCCCACTGGCTATGAAACACGAACATATAAAGAAAGCTCAAGAAATAGTTTGCAATGATTCACAAACAGCCAAACACTAATATGACATAAGAACAAGCATGTGAATTAACCAACCATCAGTGCATGACAACTCAGGATTTATTCCAGGATTTGCCTTCACAACTCGAACGTAAAGCAGAGTACCTACCTGTGCCAAGAAGCATTAGGCAAAGAAAAACATTAGAAGTGCACTTTCGGTTCGAAGGGTTCAGCCACAGTTTTTTGTTCATTTATGAATGATTGAAGAGAGAAATAATCAAGACTGCACACCAAGCCAAAAGGCAGACACTTATGACAGCGGCAAAATATGTGATTTGTTATGTTGAATTCTTAAATTGGTATAAAAGTAGCCTGATTATAATTTATATTTTCAGAGGTCTCATATTTTGAATTGCAGCAAATAAAGTTTCCTCATGATTAATTTCACTTTTATAGAACACTTATAATTCTAGCTTTCCACTATGATGAGCAAAACTTATGATGCAGTCCATGAAATTAATACGAAGTAATTATTGGAGATATATTCAGACTTTTGGTTCTTCAAAAGATATCATCATTGTAAACTATTTGATACAATTTCTTTACACATCAGAAACTAAAGCATAGACCAAGTATAAATTGCAACTAATGGATATATATGACTTGATGAGTATGAACCTCAAATTTGGGTATATTTCTCCTAGTCCCTCCTTCAAAAGCAAGCACCGGCAAAAATGCCAAGGCAGGTCCTTTTATGTCGATAAGAAAGTTCTGCAAATTAAAAATTAAGGCGAGCATTTAGATTGAAGGATATACTATAATGCAAGATGGATGTAAAACACTAGGAATCTAAACAAAGATGAAGTATTTTCAAACTGTGGGAAGGATATGGGAAAAATACAGGACAGGCATTTAACATAACAAAATGGAAAGAAGAAATAAATAGAAAAATATGAGCACTGGTCCATTAACAAAACCCTTGCATCATTTTAAAGACCTTACATGAAGTACACAAATCAGGAAAACGTACATGCTTCAGCACATAGTAGTTAGTAGTATCCCTTCACTACACTGAATTCTAAATATCCAGTCACCAGTCTAACTGTGATTTATCACAGAGAATAGCGCAAGAAAGAAGATAAATTGTATCAGTTCTTTCCTATTAATGCTTATTTATGTCTTCCAAGCTAATTAAGTTCCATTAAGTCAATTTTGCATGCTAAAGATTAACATTTCTAATACATGATTTAAGGACATCAAACTCTTTGAGCTGCATAAGCTTGTCAACAATAAAAATTGAATTTCCCCATGCCTTTCCACTATAACCTATTTCTTTTCGTTGAAAAAAAATATATAAATAAAACTGCAAAAGCCTAGTTCACAAAGTCAAAGCAGGAAGAAAGTTGGCAAGCATTAAGTGATTAAGAACACCAATCTCACAACATAGATCAAATTAAGTGCTTACATCTGATTTAGAGTCTACAACAATTCCAAGAACAGTGTCCTCCACCTGTGCCACGTACTATATGCAAAACAAAATAAATCATCATACAACAGATTCTGTATATCAACCACCAACAATATTGAAAGTCATGTGTGAAATAAAACAATCTGACAATAGTAATGCTAACCTTAACACAAAGTTCCTTCCCGGAATCACTTGCATAATAATATCATTCATTTGATGAGTGTGTCTCACTGTGGATCTCATCCACTGAATGAATGAGATTTTTATAGCGATTTAGAGAAGGAACTTTCCGTAAAATTAGCACAATTCATATCATTTTACATAAATCACAGTTAGATCAAACTAAAATGAATAAATAACAACAGCAGCAGCAGGAAAAAGGATACAAGACCACACAAAATACTAACTAAATCACAAAGAAGTACTATTTCTTCTTCTTCTTATATGTTTTTTTTTGCCTTCAATTTTGAGCACCCTGCTGGAGTATCCATTGGTGGCATTATCACATAAACTAAAAAATAAGATTACTAATCAATAAACAAACAAACAAATAAATCCCATCACTAAAAATGTTTATTCCTCATAGCCAAAAATGAAATGCCTTTCAAATCCCACCATTATTTTCTCTAAACCATTCAAAAATATCCAAAACAAATAGATTCTTCCATTTAGCTCATGATCACAGCTTCTTCCATACCCTTTTATGGGAGGTTTCAAGCCAATATTTATTTGGCTTCGAGAACCTCAATTTCCCTGCTTTCATCACAGATATAGCATCACAGTCCTGTCAAATTTAAAACAACTAAAAATTTGAATAAAGAAACAAACTTTATAGTTTTTTAAAAAATATATATATATATAAAACTAAGAAATAGAGACCTGATGGAGTCCGCCACCAAGCTTAATCGTCTGGTTAGTCATGCTAGAAAGATCAACAACCAAATCTCCTGGTACCTACAATTTGACAGTAAGAGAAGGGGGAGAGATTTTGATAACTGTAAGAATTGGAAAGAAAACCAGAAATGTCGAGGAGATGATGAAAACTCACCACTAGGTGATCTACGAAGGTCGCCGGCGAACCGGAGGGTTTGCTGTCCATATTTAACGGCGATGGAGACTTCCCTGTGTCGTACTTTGCTGAGGAGAGAATTTAGGCGAATGGGAATTTTATAGTTTTCTCAAAACGCACAGTTTAAAATAAATATCCGAGAAGCGCGGTTTAAAATTCCTTGAACGACATGTCGTTTTTACTTTGTCCCTAAAAAATAACGAAAGTAAACGAGAAGAAGCCGTACGTGTTATGAAATGTGATGGAGAAGCTGGAACCTGGAAGAGGAAGTTGAAAACAACGTCGTTGCTTGAGTTGAGCTAGTTCCGAAGAGCAAAATGGAAATCGTATGGTCGCACTCGTTTCAATTGAACGGTCATTGCATGAATAAAAAACTTGAGCTAGTTCCATACGAGGTAACTGTCAGAAATCCTAAAAAGACAACTTTAGTTTCTTGTAGTTTGCAAAATAATGCTACTTCATTTCAGTTAGCTAAAAACCCATTTGAGAAATCAAGTTATACACATGGGTTTTTGACCACAAAGTCTGTTATGGATGTTTCAAAGGTTAATAGCATGGTTAAGGAGTATACAGAAGATGGGTTTTTTGAGGATGCAATTAGAGTGTATCTTGATTTCATTGAATATGGGTTTCCTGTTGAGTTTAGATTTTTTCCTTGTTTGATTAAAGCATATGGTGGGCTTTGTGATGTCAGTAAAGGAAAACAAATTCATGGGCATTTATTAAAGTTCGGATTTTTGGAAGATGTGTATGTTAAAAATTCTCTTTTGGGTATGTATTGGAAATGTGGGGCTGGTGGGGACGCGGTTGAAATGTTTGAGAGGATGCAAGAGAGAGATTTGGTTTCGTGGAATACAATGATATCTGGGTTTTGCCAATCAGGAGATTATGTGAAATCGTTGACGATGTTTGGCAGGATGGTTAAGGAACGGGGTGGTGAATGTCCTAACCGAGTGGCATATCTCGCTGCTCTCTCATCATGTGGTTCGATTCAGTGTTTGACTCATGGAGAAGAGATTCATGGGTTCCTTGTGAAAAATGGGCTGCATTCTGATGAGTTCTTGGTTAGTGGGTTGATTGAAATGTACATGAAATGTGGAGATATAAAGAATGCTGAAAATGTTTTTGAGAGAATTCGTGATAATGATTTGGTGGGAAGAAATAGGGTGGTATGGAATGTGATGATATTGGGGTATGTTTCTAATGAATGTCTATCATTGGCGTTGGACTTGTTTGTTGAGATGTTAGAATTAGGGATCACCCCAGATTCCCCAACTGTGGTCACTCTTCTAGTTTTGTGCTCCCAGTTGTTGGATTTGGCTGTTGGAAAGCAAATCCATGGACTCATTCTGGGTCTTAGCCTGGATGATGTAAGAGTTGGAACAGCTCTTATGCAGATGTATTTTAAATGTGGTGATCCTGAAACTGGTTTGCAAATGTTCAGAAGGTCTCAATATTATAACTTAGTCATGTGGGGTTCAGTGATGTCCAATTGTGCTCAGAATGGTTACCCAAATGAAGCATTACAATTGTTTGGTGAGTTTATGTTGGATTATGGTTTTCCAGATCCTGTCATTCTTTTGGCTGTACTCCGGGCATGTTCATTCTTGACGCTTAAGCCTAGAGGGATGGAAATTCATGGATTGGCTATAAAGATGGGGTTTGATTCTGATGTTTTTGTTGGTGGTGCTCTGGTTGATTTCTATGGAAAATGTGGAGACATGAAGTATGCTCAACAAGTTTTCCATGGATTATCAACCAGAGATCTGGTTTCATGGAATGCCCTAATATCTGGATTTGCTCAAAATAAGTGTGCAGATGAGGCTTTAATGGCATTTCGTGATATGCAAACTGAACAAATCAAGCCCAATACTGTAACCATGGCATGCGTTCTTTCTGGTTGCTCTCACTTGTCAGTTATGATCCTTTGTAAGGAGGTTCACTGCTACCTACTACGACATTGGCCAGAGACCAATGCTCTTGTAAGCAATTCTCTAATAAGTGCCTATGCCAAATGTGGGGACATACATAGCTCATGGACTGTGTTTGAGAAATTGCCTGTAAGAGATGAAGTTTCGTGGAATTCAATCCTACTGGCTTTAGGAATGCATGGCCATACTAATGAAATGTTTGCAACATTTGAAAAGATGAAAGAAGCAAACTTAAAGCCTGACCATGGAACTTTTACTACCCTCCTATCTGCCTGCAGCCATGCTGGGAAGGTTGACGCAGGATGGAAATATTTCAATAGCATGATGGTAGACTATACACTTGAGCCTCGAGTTGAACAATATACTTGCATGGTTGATCTTCTGGGCCGAGCTGGCTATCTAAATCTGGCATATGATCTGATAATGACAGTGCCTTGTTCTCCAGATGACCGAGTATGGGGTTCCCTTCTTGCATCCTGCAAACATCATGGAGACACGAAGTTGGCAGAAGTTGTGGCAAATCACATATTTGATCTTGATCCTTCAAGTGTTGGTTACCGTGTACTCCTAGCAAATCTGTATGAAGATTCTGGGAACTTGAAAGAAGTTTCTCGAGTTCGAACTGAAATTAAATACATGGGACTGAAAAAGCAGCCTGGATGCAGTTGGATTGAAGTTGATAACAGTATACATATATTTGTTGCTGGTGATCACTCACATGATCAGTCTGAGGATATCTATGCTACCATAGAAGGTTTATCACTAGAAATGAAAAGAGTGGGCTATATTCCTCAAATTCAAACAGCAAGCAATGATTACTGGGCCTGACAAGTCCAAGGATAGCTTTGTTTGATAAGAATGGTTCCTGTCATCGGGGATAACCTTGTAAGGAGAGAAAAAAGAAGAAGAAAAGCACACCATATGGATTCTGTTCAAACAATGCTCGTCAATTCCAAGGCTGCCTGGATGGTATTGGAAAGCAAGTTAGCCGGTGTTCATTAAATAATTGAGATTTGAGATGATTTGTCAGAACCGGGAAGATGCCAACTGATTGGTTTTTCCTCCCTGAAACTAACCAGTTATGTTTCTGTAGGACTATATAATGCTCTAGATTGGTCATTTTTGTTCATTAATGCTGTCAATTATTTATGTTTATAAGCATTAATAAGTCCTCTTGTTTTCAGGCAAACTTATCAGAGGTGAATTTGACAATTTGATGGTAAACAAAAGGTGAAAAGCTTATTAATTCCCGAGATGTCAATTAAGAGCTTTCTTTGAAATCTTGAAGGTAAGTCATATATAATGCCTTGAAATTTTGGAAATTTAGCTAAAGTCAGTACTGGGCCTGATGAGGCTAAAGGATGGCCTTGTTTTTCCAACAGGAATGGTTTCTTTGGCTGTAACCTTGTAAGTAGCCAAAAAAAAAAAACACTGTTGAAAGTTATGAGCCGATACTTGCTCAATGCCAAGCTGTATGGATGATATTGGAAGGCAAGGAAGCAGGCATGGATCGAGTAATTGAGATTTGAGATAATTCCCAGAATTATGCAGATGCCAACTAATTGGGTTTTTTTTTTTTTTTAAATACCAAGTAAGTTTTTGTTGCGACTATCTGATGTTTCCTTTTACTCCAGATTGGTATTTTTCTGCTCATTAAAATGCTGTCAAATTATTTGTCTTTTATAAGCAATTAACATATCTTTTTCATCTTTAGGAAAACTTAGCTGAGATGAATTGCACGATTTGTTGGTAAAGAAAAGTTGAAAAGCCAATTCCTGATGTGGTCACTTGGAGCTTTTCTTGAAATCTTGGAGGAAGGCAAGTCATGTATAATGCCTTTACTTGAAATCTTGGAAATTGAGCTGAAGTTAGTAGGATGTTAAGATCAGTCAGAACTAACATTTGTTTCAAAAGAATGGAGTGAGGAGAACGTCTGAATTTCTTGACATGATTGCATGATAGGGGCGTCATCACCTCTGGAGTCAACACTACAAAATCCATGCAGGGTCAATCGGAGACGTATCTGATGGTACTTCCCATCCTCTGAGGTGTTCGGGCTTTGAGAAAACTATGTGCCGATTATCCTGTACGAGAAGCACACTTCCTTGAATTTCTTTAATAACCTGTGATTGGATAATTATAAATGTCAATTCTCGTGTGGCAAAATCAAATGCTCTACCAATTCTTAAGGTTGCGTAAAGACATTTATTTCAGTTTAAAGGGCTTATTAATGGGTTATTCAATCCAAAAAAGGTCAATTAAGCTTAAAGAGGCTCATCAATGGTAAATTATAGGGTAACTATTCAAGCTAAGAGCATCTCCAATGATGCTTTTTAATTTTAGCTAGCATTTTTAATGTAAATAGAGAACATCGTTAATTTTATAGATTGAAGATCAGTGTTTTCTTCAATGCTACTCTCTAATTTAACTCTTTATTTTGACAAAATTCATAAGACCTAAAGAGACTACTTGGTGAAGAGGTTGAGTGGTATAAGAAATAATAATTTTCATTAATAAAATATAAGATAAAAAATCATTTGGACTCTATAGTATTGGAGAGTTTAAGATACTCTATATTTTAATTTTAAAGACAAAGATTGTGATAAAGAGAGCATTGAAGATTGAATTTGGGCCAAACCTTTTTATTATAAAGAAAAATCTTAATATAAAGAGAGCATTGGAGATATTCTAAATGATTTATTCAAAACATGGTCTTTATCATTTTCATGCATGTAACAAGTTCATGGATGAATATCATGTACAACAAAAAGTAGAGATTGATTAATGTCTAATTTTATAGGCTTAAAATCTCATAGGTATGTCTTTCACATTCAATTGACTATTATTCCAAAATCATTTATTCTACTAACCAATCTCAAGTTGCAAGTCAATTAACTCAATCATGTTATGTAACTTTAAAATTCAATTCATTTTTGCTCATTATTATTACACATTTTGACATTATTGAAGAGCACCTAAAACATACACAAAATATTTAAAAATAAAAAAATAAAAACCAAACGAAATAAAAGTAAGTCTTAAAATCCAAAATCTTTCCTCTACACTTAAATTTTATATTGTCCCTAATGTAAAGCACATAATGATAAATATTCATGAAAACTGAAAATTAAAAAAGATAGGGTAAGAAAACAAATGCGGAGGTGGCTTTTTAGCCACTCTTGGGTTGCCTTCCAAGCAGCGCAATTGTTTAACATCGTTAGCTCGATGTAGATAATACTCACTCCTTATAAATTGGGTTTTTTAACTTCATCTCTTCCACATCTTGCAGTTGAAATCCTTCATTTTAATCTGTGGCCATTAACTTTCAACACTATGGTGGTTTGCAAACTTTTAATTTCAATCGCACCCCGAGAAAAAACATTAGTAACAACAAAAGGTTAGATCCAACGAAAACGTAACTTACCAAGCATCGGTTTAAATCACGATTGATAAAGTAAAAATTTTAGTCCAAAGATAAACTCTTTCCTAGCTATCGTCTTATCACGAAAAGCTTTGATTTTCTCTTTGTATATGCTTGAGTTTTTATATGCCTCAAGTCGAATTTCCTTTAGTTTTTGCAACTGCAGCTTCCTTTCTTCACCGAGCTTTCTCTATCTCCATATTACAACTCCACACTACCCAATAAGCCTTATGTTCTAACTATATAGGAATGTGATATGATTTTCTACAAACCATCATATAGGGAGACATCCCAATAGGTGTTTTGTATGTTGTCCTATAAGCCCACAATGCATCATCAAGTCGAAGGCTCTAGCCTTTTCTCTTTGGCTTAACTATTTTCTCCAAAATAAATTTGATTTCTCTATTGGATACCTCGGCTTGTCCATTCGTTTGAGGATGTTTAGGTATTGATGTTTTATGAAACACACTATACTTCTTCAACAAGGCTTCTAATGATCGATTACGAAATGTGTCCCTTGATCACTAATGAATGCCATTGGTATTCTAAATCTACTAAAAATGTTAGACTTGATAAAACCTATAACAAATTTAGAATCATCACTTTTGGTAACCTTTGCTTTCACCCATTTCGAGACATAATAAAAAACAAGTAAAATATAAATGAAGTCAAAGGATGAAGGAAAATGACCCATAAAATCAATATCCCACACAATAAATTTCATAAACAATTATGACAGTTTAAATAATCTCATTCTTTCAGAGTTAAATTTCCAATTCGTTAGCATTGTTCACAAATTTCACAAAACATGTAAGAATCATGAAATATAGTAGGCCAATAAAATATGCATTTCAAAACTATCCTAGCCATTCTCTTTAGTCTAAAATGACCTCCACAAGCATAAGCATTATAGAAAGTAAGGATAGATTGCATTTTAGAATCATTCACACATCTCTTAATAATCTAGGTAGAATAATATTTCAACAAATAAAAGTCATCCCACACATAAAATTTGACATCACTCTTAAGTTTGTCTTTTTTAGCTCTACTCAAGTACAACCCTAGTAACGAGATGGTTAAATAAATCAACATACCAAGGAATCATACCTCGTAGTAGGAACAAATGCTCATCAAGAAACAACTCTTGTAGTGGCAATGGATCTTCTTTTCTCACAAATTAATGTAAATGATCCGCAACTAGATTTTCAACTCTTTTCTTATTTTTGATCTCAAGATCAAACTCTTATAATATGAAAATCCATCTCATAAGCCTAGGTTAGCTTAGTTCTTTGCTAACAAATAATTTAAAGCTATATGATCGAGAAAACACAATAACTCTAGAACCAAGCAAGTAGGACCAAAATTTCTCTAAAGAAAATACAATAGCTAAAAGTTCCTTTTTAGTTGTAAAGTAATTGTTAAGAGGCAAATTTAATTTCCTTAATGCATAATTAATGATATGAACTTGTTTGTCAACCTTACGCCCTAAGATTGCTCTTACACCATTGTTGCTTACATCATACATTATTTAAAATGGCAAATCCCAATTTAGGGATAGCATAATGAGGGTTGATGTCAAAGACATTTTTAGCTTATCAAAAGCATCTTTGCAATATTGGTTAAACTCAAATGATGATTATTTTTGCAGAAATCTCAACAATAGGAATGCTATTTTAAAGAAGTCCTTAATGAACCCGAGGTAAATTAAAGCCTACATGACCAAGAAAAGAGTGCACTTCCTACACACTTATGGGGTAGGGTAAGCTCAATATCAATTTAATTTTAGCTTTATCAACTTCAATGCCTTTGTTAAACACTACATACCCTAACACAATGCCTTGTTTTACTATAAAATGATATATTTTTTTTTAATTCAAAATAAGATTCGTTTCAATGCAACATTTAAGCACATTATTCAAATTATTTAAACATGCATAAAATGAATCACTATATATTATAAAGTCATCAACAAATACTTCAATGCAATTTTCTATATAATCCAAAAATATACTCAACATACATCTTTGGAAAGTGGCAAATGCATTGCAAAGTCGAAAAGATGTTCTCTTATATGCGAGATGTTCCAAATGGGCATGTAAATGTTGTTTTCTCTTGATCCTCCGATGTAATTACAATCTAATTATAACTTAAGTATCCATCTAGAAAATAGTAGTATAATTTACCTCGCTAAACGTTCAAGCATTTGGTCGATAAAAGGTAAAGGAAAGTGGTCTTTTCTTATCACTATGTTCAGCTAATGATAGTCTATGTACATACACCAACCATTTTGAATTCTGATTGGAATGAGCTCATTAACTTTGTTCTTGATCACCATCATTCCAGTCTTCTTTGGCATAACTAGACTCATTTATTTGTTATATAAAATTGGATAGATGACACATGTACT